GGTGGGGAAGCAGCGAGCTCCCCACCTGGCTCGCTACATAGTGATTTGAAGGCCAGCCCGGAGTACCAGCTGGAGTACCAGCCTGGAGTTGAGCGCTGGCTGGGGCGCCTCCAGTCAGGAGTGCTTGGCTGGGCAGGCCCTGCCCTGTGCTGCTGCCATGGCAGGAGCCAGAGATGGCAGCTGCCCCATGGGCAGCAACGACTTCCAGTGGTGCTTCTTGCAGGTGAAGGGCACCGTCGATGGGGACGTGGTGGAGGCTGACATCATTTCAACTACTGAATTTAATTACTCTGGAGACCTTCTTGCAACAGGAGACAAGGGTGGCAAAGTCGTTATTTTTCAATGAGAACATGAGAATAAAACCCGTCCTCCTTCTAGGGGAGAACATAATAATGTTTACCGTGCCTTTCAAAGTCACGAACCAGAGTTTGACTATTTGAGAAGTCTTGAAATTGAAGAAAAAATTAGATGGTTGTCACGAGAATACTATTTATTTTCTACTCTACAAATGATAAAACTACTAAATTATGGAAAATAAGTGAATGGGATAAAAGAGCAGAAGGTTATAACTTGAAAGATGAAGACGGGCAAGTTCAAGACCCATTTAGAACGACAGCACTGCGGGTTTCTATACTGAAGCCCATGGACCTCATGGTAGAAGCAAGTCCACGGTGAACTTTGCAAATGCTCATATCATACAAATTCCATTTCAGTAAACAGTGATCATGAAACATATCTTTCTGCAGATGACCTGTAAGGACAAATTTTATTTATTGCCCTTTGCCGTGCACGGCCTCCTAATTAATTTGGCTCCATTGGCTAAAAGAACGTCCACCAGCCTTAAATAAGTACGAAAGGGAAAGTTTATTGAAGGATATGCGCATACAGAAAACAAAAGTAAGAATGGAGAGGACAAAGAAAGAGGAGAGTCCTCTAACAGCAAGAGGGACTCTATCCAGGAAATTACCCTTAGGCTCTCTGGCAACAACACCGGAATGTTGGAGGAATTAGGTTCATCACTCACAACACAGCACGGGTCTCTTCAGCAGTCCCTTCGGCTACAAGTCTCAATCCTGGGCGTAAGACAGCAGCAGCAGCAGCCTGGGCGAGTTGGGCTGTTTTTATAGCTCTCTAGACAAAGGTAGTAAAACTACCTGAACTTTTGGCGCAGAAAAAGGTGAATGCGCTTGCAGTCCCAACCGGGCCCTGGCCAGGGGTCCGGGAGGGGCGGAATGCATCACATTCCTTATCTTGATGTTAAGAACATCTGGTCTTTTTAACAAAGTCCTCCCTGTTTTTTCCCAGGGAACTGGCCAGATATCCAGGGAAAGAAGAGGTGAACTAGTGATTACCCGCCTTAGAGAGCCGAAAGCCTTAACCCAAGCCTTTCCAACTTAGAGTTTTAACTTTCCTTACATGACCTGAGAATAAACCTATGACATTTAGAAATCACTGATGGAAGCTTTAACATCGTGCATGTCAAGCCTGCTAACCTAGAAGAGCTGACGGAAGTCACCACCGCTGCCGAATTCCACCCACACCAGTGCAATGTGTTTATCTACAGCAGCAGCAAAGGGACCACCCGGCCATGTGACATGCGTTTCTCTGCCCTGAGTAACAAACACTCTAAATTTTTTGAAGAGCCTGCAGATCCCACCAGTAGGTCCTTTTACTCAGAAATGATTTCACCCATCTCTGATGTCAAATTCAGC